CAGGGGCTACGGCCCCGTCAGCGCGGACCTGGCGGAGCCGAGGGAGGAGGGATTTCGCAGGAGTGGGGCTGATTTTTTCCAGTCCCCTGAGAACAGCGGGGAACCCCTGCGTTCACCGAAGGGCGCGGCAGCCGCGAGCGCTGAGCGCCCCTCCGAGTCACCCAACGGTCCTCTCCCTCGTCCGCAGCACAGCCACTGCAGAGGGGCCCAAACTGAGGTCTTAAAAGTAGTTTATAATCCCAAATGCATTTGGGATTTTCCCGTGATTCTCTAAACACTCTGCCTCAAAAGTTCAGAAGAAACAATATGCAGAAACTCTCCCTCTGTGTGTTTTAACCCAGTCGCATCTGCCTGGATTATCTTAATTCTGTCCAACCCGTATTTTTCCTAACTTCATAACCTTTGGAATCTTTGGAGCTTTCACTACCTTTTTCTGAGCTGTTCCAGGTACTTTTCTGCCCACCTCGACTGTTGTTCCAGATGCTGGCCTCCATTTGCAATTTGCCCACCTTTAACACAGCCGAGCATCGCTTTTCTCTATTACCCGGCTAGGTAGGCATCCTCACTGCGTTATCCGTAACGCCTCCTTTACCCCAGGCTCGCTGGCATTCTGGTCGCTTAAGGTTAAATGCGTAATATTTTCCTCTGTTAGGAAGACTGTTTCGCAGAATTTCAAGTGCTAATACTGAAAGGTTTATTTTCACGGCCTTTATTTTTCCATGGTACGGTAAGAGGTCATGGCTCTGTGGGACTGCGATGGGTGGTGTGTGTAGCACCACCATCGTTACCAGCTCTGGAGAGCGAAGCCCGCTGCTATAAACGAGTCTGTGCTGCTTCAGCTCAGCGCTGACTTCTGCCCTCGGCCTGCCAAAGCTGTCCCGTTAGTGTTGTGAGCTCTTGTAGGACAGGCGGTAGCCTGCTGGTAGCAAGGTCTTTCAGGTGAATTTTCAGAGCCATCCGGGAGGTGTAACTGCACGGCTCCGGCTGAAAGAGATCTGGCTGCCAGATCTTGCACAGGCTCTTTTTACAAGATCATTCTTTGCAACTTTAATTTGACCGATGATGGCTCAGAGCAGAACTGATCTGCAGTAGATTCGAGATCTATTTTTTATACCTGTCATTTTCATTAATACCTCCTTTTTGCCTTTCAGACATGGCCATGCCCAGTTCCCTTTTGTGGGCTGTTGACATTTTTGGGAGGGTTTACACTCTGTCTACGGTTGGCCAGTACTGGGAGCTCTGTAAGGACACGCAGCTGGAATTCAAACGGGTCTCTGCTGTCAAACAGTGCTGCTGGGGAATAGCCTGCGATCATCAAGTATACACCTACGTGTTCTCGGGTGATGTTCCTATCAGATACCAGGAAGAAACCTATGAGAATCAGGTATGAAGCGTTGCGGGGGCCTCTATCGCACTGCCACACACTCATCAGAAAAGAACGATAGCAGATCCATACGTCAGCTGTCTCTATGTGTGTTTCTCATGGGAAGATCGTTTGGTTTTATTTGTTTTCATTTTTTACATGATGCTTCTGAAGAGTATATATGTGCCAAATAGCACGTTATTCTTTTAATATTTTAATTCTCAAAGGAAGGTTATACTTCCCGGCTATTACAAGAAGCAAGGCCAGTGTGCACTGCAGCCTGCTTTATGCGAGCCGTTTCAGGCTGCAACGTTCACCCATTTCACCTGATGGTTTCCTTTCCTTAGTGACAAATGCACAATCCCCTTAAGAAATTGTCCAGTGTAACTTCTAGGCAACAAAGGTGCATTATCAAAAATGTATTACTCTTTAGAAAATACTGGTTTTTAATGTTTCAAAGAATTCTCTGCTAAAGGCATAACTCTCCACTAAAGTACGTTTCCAGCTTTTTTTGCCTAAAAGTGTTATGATGACCCTTCCTATGTGACTTCCTTCAAAAGAATCTCTTTAAAATAGTATTTTAAAGGAAATTTATCTATTTTGTTTTTAAGTTATCCAAAAGTTATTTGAGGAGAAAACGGAAGGATTTTCTTGAGCACGTTTCTCTGATTTCTAATAGGCAATGGGATAAACCTAAGTTGAGAAAAGACACTAACTTCTCTACATGGGTAAAAATATATATATAATTATGTACCTTATTTGACACTGATATAACTTTCCAGCCATTTAAGAATGTTCCTTTTGTTATATAAACACGTTCTTTAAAAATGCAAAACTTTAAATTTTATTTTATTTGTTATTTTTAAAGCCTGTTTTCTTTGTTCTAGGCTATAAAAAAATTGAAAACAAAATACTAGAAAGCATAAAAAATATAGGAGGATTTTAAAACTCATTTTCCATGTGCCCTAAAATGTAAGACAGTATTACATGACAAATTTTGCTAGTATTTGTATAGTAGGTAAGAGCATAGGGAAAAAGAAGAATCACAGCTGCATTGGCAAAAAAACCTAGCAAGTTACTTGTTGTGTCACTGATTAAAGCCAGATTTGGGAAAAAAAACCACCAAACCCTCTTAGTAGTATAAGATACAAGGAAGGTTTACTGATGTTACTGAAGTTATCTTGATGTAGTTTCTGGCACAGAAGCCATGCTGGTTTTCTAGTGCAGGCAAGATTTCTTTCTTTCTCAAGGAGAGCAGATTAGAGGTCCCAAGGCCGCCTATACAGCATTATCCTAATGCTGCAGTGTCATGGTGCCACACGCCACCAAAGAAAAAAGCACTGTAGGAGTCGTAAAGTATATCATCAGGTGTTCCTGTTCATATAGCTGAAAATGACTTGGTTGGCACTAGCTCTGCAATCAGCCCTTCTCTGATACTTGAAAAAGCTTCCTCCAAAGGCGGCATACGCTAGGGCCTTACAGGGTGAACGCTTTCTCGTTCACCCAAGGAATTTATTCCTCTTCTACTTCAGAAAAAAAGAAGAGTATCATTTATGACTCTCTAGGACTCTGTAGATGTGCCATGAGATAATGTGATCTCAAATAAAATATTTTATTTATTATTTCTGGCAGCGCTGGAATCCAGTTGGTGGCTTTTGTGAGAAATTACTGCCCAGTGACCGCTGGCAGTGGAGCGATGTGAGCGGGCTGAAACATCAGCAGCTTGATAGTTTCATACTGCCTTCACCACACTGGGAGTGGGAGTCTGACTGGTATGTGGATGAAAATATTGGAGGGGAACCAACAGAGAAAGGGGTAGGTGAACAATACCAAAGAGATCTATTCTGGGAATCCTTAGTCTGTAAAATAAAAGGCACTTTTATAGAAGTGTAAAAGGTCTGTAAAAATAAAAGGGGCTTAACTTCCCATGGCTACTGCTTTCTGGGAAATAGCTCAACTGTAATACAACACAAGGAAGGATCTTGTCTGAAGGCTTTTGAAGTCTATAGGAGCTTCTGTAGAAGCTTTTTCAGGCCATGAAATGCTGGCAACTGGATGACATTGTTATTTAAGATCTTTACTATGAAGAAAGTAAAACGCTTTACTGTGTCTTGTTTGTTCTGTGTATATCATCCAGAGGAATTTGGACGTGATTCATAAGTCACTGGTGGAATTAGCTGATCTGTTAATCAGGGCTGTTGAGCCACGCACAGTAACTTGTATTGTGTTTGCAGGAGTGACTCTTGTGCAGAATTGCTCTGAGTTATGATTTCGAGCTTTCCCTTGGTCCTGATTTTCATAAAAGAAAACTTCTGTTTGCAGGGCTGGACTTACGCCATAGACTTCCCCAGCACCTACACAAAGGATAAGAAATGGAATTCTTGTGTCAGACGCAGGAGGTGGATCAGATACAGGAGATACAAATCACGGGATGTTTGGGCAAAGGTTCTGGATATCTTTTAAATATTAAAGAAACTGATTTTCTAAAATAATCAATTATAGGTGCAGGGAAATTCATTTTTATCACTGCTCTGTAGGCTGCACCTGGCTTCCTTGACTTCCAGCTTGTAATTCTTGCAAGCATAAATGGAAGGCTGGGATTTTTCAGAGAAACCTGTGGTAGTAAGGTGCCAAATCTCATGGTAATGCAGTTGGAGGTAGATGCTCAGCTCCTTTGCAAATTTCAAACCAACCTTTTAACTTCCTTTGGTGGTTTGACAAAGCACTCTCTTTCGAGGTGGCACCTGTCTAGCATCATTCACCAGTTGTGTCCTTTATCTATATGAATAACTGTTCTTTAATAATTGTTGTTCCATTCTAAGAATGTACAAAAATTGTAATTTGTGATGTTCCAGCTTTCCAACTCAAAGAACATCTGTATGCACTGTTCTGTGAGTAAAAATTTCCTATAGTCAGGGGAGGAAACACAGACTTCTTCATGCTGCTTCGGCAGCGTTTCCCCTCTCTGCTTATAGCAGCCTTGACCGAGAGGAAGAATCTCCATGCTCAGCTGCGTTAGTAAGCGATACATAAACCAGCCTGCGGGAAACAAGCTAGGCCACCAGCCAAACCGCCGACCTATTTGCAGTGTCTCCTCTTCTCCTCCCAATCTTCCTTCTCGTTGCTTTAGGTCCTATCCCACGATGATCCAGATCAGTTGCCAGACCCTTTCAATGACATCTCCGTTGGAGGATGGGAAATCACGGATGAGCCTCCTGGCCGTTTATCAGTATGGGCGGTTTCTTTACAGGGAAGGGTATGTGCACGTTCCCCAAGTTTTCTAATACGAATTACTACTGAAAAGGAGCTAAATGCTTTAAAAGCAAGGCGGGTTTGTCATTGTCTTATGTTGGTAAGGAAAGATACTGTTTCTGCATCTGGCAGAGGATGTAAAAGCTGCTTTGGGACTACATTATAGTAACTTGTGTTGTAAATAGAAAGGCTTGGTGTCTCAGGGTTGCTGTTTTATGGAAGCCTTAAACCTCTATAAATAGGTGAATCTTAAAAACTTGGGCTGAGTCGAGTCTTACATCCTGAAAAACGCCCAGAATGCAGGCTATGGAGCTGCCAACAAACAGAAGGAGCCTTAAAACCTGATAAAGATTCTCCTGTCTCTGTGGTGGAGAGTCAGGAATGATTAAAGAAAGAGTTTACGAAATGGTTTTCTAAGGCTTATTGATCAGAAAATTAAAACCTCCTGGCCTGGCAATGTGGAGTCCAGCTCTGGAATGTTTTCAATTGATTTGCTATTGAAAACTATACATCTTTCTTTTGTTGTTGTTTTCGGCCTGCCATAAGGTGTCTCCTCTTTTGCAGAGTGCTGTAAAGAGTTGATTCTTGCTTTCCTTCCTTCATCCTTACAGCATGTATCCAATATTCCTTTGTCTCTAGACAATTTCTAACTTGTGGTCTCACAGGGAAGAAGGTAATACTTTTAACAGATAGCCTGAGATTTCAGTCACACTTGGCACTGCCTGGACAGGCAAGCAATCTTGGTTAAATTGGTTAGAATAAAATTCCCTATGCCTCGTACTTGCCAGTAATAAGTGACAAGCATCCCACTCCACAGGCTTACTTGACTGACATTGTAAAATGCTTTAATTTCCCAAGTCAAAGTCCCCAGAGAAATTAAGTATTTCTAAATATGAGGATTTAGCACTCGACAGTCGTGTTCTGGAGCGCTCGTATGACTCGGCAGGATGCTTTCTATGTTTGACCTTCCTATTTTGACTGTGATCTATAGCAGAGTGCAGAGACAGTAGGACCACGACTGGCAAATGGACTGGATGTCACTGAAGGCTGCACAGGGAATGGAATTTTTTACCCATATTGTAGCAAGCTCTGTTCAGTGAAAGTGAGGTCAGGCCATCAGCTAACAGTAACATTTTTGTGTTATATATTTGTTCATTCTTTGTTTAT